TCATTAGGATTTACCTTTTGAACTGTTGTTGAGCATGTTTTGCAAGGTTGCACCAGCATCTTGTGGGAGCATGACGGCAGGAATCTGTATATCTAAATCCGTTTCATCCGGTTCACAAACCATTTTGTAAAGCTCTGCCAGACAAACAAACATATAAACCATTAGATTCTACAAACAAAATTAAAAATTGCAAACAAAACATGAGACGGAGCAGCATATATAGGATATTGTCTGTAATAGTAACGATGCCCAAATAACTCATAAAAACTGATCGCTAAAATAACATCAAAGCAATTAGACAATTTCAACAGTCACCTAGAAACAAAAACAAGTTACCTTTTTGATTATTTATGATGAGCAGAGCAGAGGCACCAGCAGCTTCTGCATGATTTGCCTTAGCTGTGAACTTACAGTTGCCCCGTTCCACAATAACAACATCTCCAGAAAGCTAAAACAAAAATTAAACCAGTAAGTCAACGCATTCACTCTCAACATTACAACAAGTTTAAAACGCATTGATTACATGCCATAGTTGGTGAAAAGAGGTAGATAAAAAAAACCTTGTTCTTGAGCGGTGCACAAGAATCACGAGGATTTGCAAAAACAAGGTGCGTCTGGTTCGCATTCTTCTCCTTGGACACTATCCGCCTCCCGAATCTAGCCCCGACACCCACAAACTCCTCTTCCTCAACACCATCAACCCACGTTTGAACTTTCACCTAAAGAAAGAACCAGGTGACAAAATCACACACATACATCAATTTAGTAAACACTCTTAACCTTATAGAAGAAAAGCCAGATTTAAATATGAATAAAGCAACAAAAACTCATCAGATGTTCACAGAAAGCAATCAATAGCTCAACAAACAAGAAATATTCATCCAGGAAAGATTACAATTTTATGATTAAAAAAAATCACAATTTTGATTTTAGTTCTTTAGGATCCAAAGGAGTAACTAGAATTATACTTGATAATCTTCAATAATCAACCCTACAAAGTAACTTCGTTACTAAGAAAGATACATGAGAAAGAAAAAATTGTACAAAAGGTGAAGTAAAACTCAGAATCTAGGAATCCATAACTTAGATCAACTACAAGCTAATCAGTAAACAAAGAGTCTAAGTTTTAAATCGAAACTTACTAACTTAATCTCAAAAATTCCAATGGCCTAAACTAAGAAACCTCCGATTAACAAAAATTCCGTAAGAACCCAGAAAGGGAGAAAAACAAACCAAACTCGTTACAAATATTTACGAAATTAGTGAAGAACAAGCAGAATTCGAGGTGAGAATAGAGATTTAGTACCAGAACGAAGTCATTCTCGCAACCTGGTTTCTTCGGAGCTAAATCATCGTGATGAACAATATCACCGGCGATGACAGTAGAAAGGAGAGAAACGAGTAAAATCGAAGCGGAAAGAAGAAGAATCCGGAGAAATCTCAGCGAATCCATGGAATGGCTCCAAGGATTCTCTCTCGAATTTATCACACACACAACAAGCAATGAAGAAGAGAGAAGAGTGAAACACGGAAAGATTAAATAATTAAAAAAATTAGGGAAATATTCGAAGAAACAAAAAAAAAAAATGGGAATATTTATATTTATCAGATATCATTGTTTGGATCTGTGGAAAGTGACGTCAGCGAGTAAGTAGAGAGAAAACGACGTCGTTAGGTCGAGCCAAAAGAACCGGTTTAGCTAAATTGGTTATCTCACAATCTTGTCCAAATTTAAGATTTATTGGAAATTTGGAATAAGAACATGATATAATAATGAATTGACGACCTTTGTTGCGACAATTTCCTCGGACATACCATGTTGTTTTGTATGTCTAACCAAATTATAATTATTATGAGTACTGATTATATTAATTTAGTATTGGCTTTGGAGTGGTCCCAAAGACTAATGGATATTGAGAATCTTTTAATTTATAGCCAGAAATAAAATTCAATTTTATACTTATAGTTATAATTAGAAAGACTATATTCCCTGCCAAACTTACATAATTTTTTGTTTTTGTCACATATCATATCACTAGGCCTAAACCTTGTATCTTTCAATCATGTATTCCTAATTTCCAAATTTTCAGATTAAGAAATATACTTACCAAATTGAAACCGTAAGTTCTTCATATACATTTTACTTGAATTGCTTTATTTGTTCTTTTCAACTAGGTTGGGTTATAGTTTTGGATATATGAAAGAAAAATCAAATAATTCAAACCGGATTAGACTCTAAATCGGTTTACGTTGGGTCGGTTTGAATTGGTTTATATCCAGATTAAACACCTGCCCTCTCTCAATCAACACATACACTAACAAAACAACCACTTACATTTTTGGGGCTTTAACACTTCGAAAATTTGTATACATCTTCCATTTTTAGAATCTGCATCTCTCGA